CCTAGGCAAGTGAGGTGCGATCTGGTTTTCTTCTCTATCAGGTAAGGATTGGTCTGACATTTGAGGATCAATTATGTGGATTTGTTCTGTGTTTTCTATGGGGTCAGTAGATGCAAGTCGGGTTTCTTGCTCTCTGGGAAGATTAGCTGGAGTAGTAATGATGGGTTTTAAGGAAAACACAGATCACTGGGATTACTGGGATTTGGTTGAACATCTATTTTGGTATTTTCAGTTTCTTTGCAAGGGAAGATTGTTTCGTGAAACACAACGTTCCTTGATATGAAAACCTTATTGGTTCCTAGATCGAGGAGTTTATATCCCTTCATACCAAAAGGATATCCCAAAAATATACATCTTCTAGCTTTAGAATCGAATTTGTGTCTGCCATTGGTAAGAGTAGTGGCAAATGCGAGATATCCAAAGACCTTTAGATGTGAGTACGTAGGCTTGGTTTGAAATAAAATCTCAAATGGACTTTTGTGATTCAGAAGTACTGAGGGTGTTCTATTGATTAAGTAAACGGCAGTCAACACACAATCATTCCAATGTTTCAATGAAATGCCACTTTGAAATTTTAAGGCTCTTGCGACGTTTAAAATGTGTTGATGTTTCCTCTCAACGATGGCGTTTTGTTGAGGGGTTTCAACACATGTTTTTTGATGAATAATACCTCTTTCAAGATAAAATTGCTTCATGTTGAATTCACCTCCATTATCAGTGCGAATAACTTTAACTTTGGCTTGAAATTGAGTTTCTATTAATTTGCAAAAGTTCTGTAAAGAGTTGGTTGCTTCAGATTTTAATTTGAGCATATATACCCAAGTACATCTACTAAAATCATCTACTATAGTTAGGAAATAACGAGATCCATCATAACTCATTTCGTTGCAAGGCCCCCAGATATCGCAATGTATCAAATCGAAAATTTTCACTGATTTGTGTTGACTGACAGGGAAGGGAAGCTTATGTAATTTTGCCAAAGGGCAAATCGAACAAGGTTTCTTAAGAGAAGTTAACTTAAGTATTTCATCTTCAAGGGGTAGGACAGAATGGGATGGATGTCCCATCCTGTAATGCCAAAGATTAAAATCCTCAACATGGCTGATAACAGAAGCTGAAATGGGAGATATGGTATTTAGACTGGTCAGTCTTTCTTGAAGGGCTGTGGGAGATACTCTTGAAGGCAGGACATGATAGAGCCCGGCTTTTACTTCACCCATTCCAGTCGTTGTCCAAGTCAAAAGGTCTTGAATGAAACAGACATCAGGTAGAAAAACAACACAATAATTCAGTGCTTGAGTTAGTTTTCTGACAGAAATTAGGTTGAAGGAGAATGAAGGAACACATAAAACGTCTTGAAGTATTAATGTGTCTGTGATATGTGCCGTGCCAATGTGACTAACTGGTGCAACAGCCCCATTTGGTAAGGTCACTGAACAAGTGATTTGTGACTTGACAGAGGAAAAGTAAGACGGGCTACAGATCATATGATCTGTTTTGCCCCTGTGTCTAGGATCCAAGGGGCTACATACTCATTGATGTTGGCAGTGTTAAGAGTTGATAAGCAAAGTGATATACCAGAAATTTTTGGAAGGGTATCATCAGGACTTGAAGCAACAGCACATTGAACTTGACTTGGTGAGGAACCTGAATTAGAATTTGTTGGTGATTTGAGAATAGACATTAGGCGAGAGTATTCTTCTTGAGTGAGTGATATATTTGCTTTGTCAATTTGCTGCTCCTGATTCATAGGCAGTAGGATAGATGCCTGATTTGCCACAGGTGTATATCGACTCTTTCCATCCAATTTGCGACTTGATGGATAGCCATTCAACTTGAAACATTGCTAGCAGTATGTCCTAGCATCTTGCAGTAGGAACACACAGGTTTGTTAGGGTCCTTAAGACACCTTTCGAGTGAGTGACCTGCCATTTTACAATAGGAGCAGTAGTATCTATCTTTCCTCTGCGATGAAGAGTTCTGCCTGCTGTTGTCTCTGAAATTACCTCTTGTTAATAGTGACATTGTCTCATTGATGGAGCCATAATTTGAGATTTGTCTCCTCTTCTCCTCTTGTTGAATTATAGAGTAAACCTCATTCAAGGAGGGAAAGGGCTTGTTCAAGAGAACCTGAACCTTGATTGCCTTGTAGGACTCATCTAATCCTATTAAAAACTTCATCACCCAGTCCCGATTCTGATATTCCACTACTGTCTTCAGTCCCCCACATGTGCAGCTGGGGATGGATTCATAGTTCTGCAATTCGTCCAGAAGGGTCTTAAATTTGGAAAAATACACACTTACAGCATCATGACTTTGAGCCAGGATTGTAATAGCTTGCTTGATCTCAAAAATTCGAGGAGCGTTCTGTTGAGCAAAACGTTGTTCCAGTTCAAGCCAGAGCTGATGTACAGTTTCAGCATACGTCGTGCTACATTTTATGTCTACAGCCATACTATTCTGCAGCCAGGTAATGACAATGTCATTGCACCTAAGCCAATGTTCCATCATCGGATCGTTCGGATTTTGTGGCTCACAAATGCTACCATCTATGAAACCCAGTTTATTCTTTATCCTAAGAGCCCTCTTTATTGATCTGGCCCAAGGATGATAATTGTTTGCATCTAAAGTATGAGTGACCAGAACACTTCCAGTGCCATCATTGTTGCCAATGAAGTAAGGACTGCTGAAATGCGTTGGGTCATGAACTGTTGGATTGTTGTTTTGAGTTTGGTTGGTGTTTTGCGGAAGATTTGAGGACTCATTATCTGATTCAGCCATATAGGCTCTGATACATATAAATTTTGAAAGAGCAAATATGACAAAGAACAATTGCTGAGAATATCTTCTCTTTAATACCATCACAATTACAATGTATATATACAACACGTGAAGGGGAATGCAGGTGAAATTTGTTACAAAGAATAAATACAATCTGATGGAATATTCTGTGATGTAACCGAAAGCATGTGCACAACAAATCTGTTTATCCAGCACATCATCTTCTAGACTCTTCTTATTCACAATTATCCACGGTGGCTGCTTGAGCTGGAATAGATGATTTAGCTGCCATATCTTGCTGATGAGGTGTTTTCTCTACTTATTCTTTTAATAGATCTGCATCCTAATGGAGGGAATATCACAAAATATTACAGCAGAACAGAAGGTATGTCGATAAATGTTCTTGCTTAGGATTGAAATTTTTTATGCTAACTATTAAAATCCCACATTATTTGGGAAAATATAAATGATCCACTTAATAAGGTGATGGCAATCCTCCCCTAATAAGCCGGTTTTATTAGGTGGAGTTAGGCCTAATATTCCTAACATGTTATCAGATTTAGGCCCAATTATGCAATGTTGGGTGCTACCCAATATCGATTTGTTCACAGTTGTTTGGCATGATCCACGCTGTGCGTGAGAGGGCGTATTAGAATCCCACATTACTTGAGAAAATATAAATGATCCACTTAATAAGGTGATGGCAATCCTCCCCTAATAAGCCGGTTTTATTAGGTGGAGTTAGGCCCAATATTCCTAATACTAACTTTGGCTCGTCTAAAAGCTTAGCTGTTTTCGCCGATGTTTTTATAATATGTAGTCCTTTGCGTGGAAGTGAGATGTATTTTCAGCCCATAAAATATGAGCTATTGAACTTTACTGTCATACCATTTTGTTAAAAAATTACTGGTAATTGGCAGGTGGGCCTTTGTAAAATTGAGTTTTCTTGAGAAAGAAAATATAAAATATGGAAAGGATTTTGTACTGTGAGTTTTTGGAGATCTGGATGTTGGAGAATGAAGAGAAGTGGTGACAATAGTTTCTTTTTGAAACCTGTAAAATTATAATGTTTTGCTACTTGCAAGAAAGAGAAATGTAGGTTTGTTTGTTAATGATGTCGTATTTGTCTTTCTTTCTGTGTACTGGATTCTGGCTGGAGGGTCTTATGATGAATGAGTTACAAAGATTTTATGTGGTCTTCTGAAGAAAAGAAAAGGTTTTGCAATTTTTTTTCCTGGCCCCGAGTACTGTTTGAAAAGAGAAAAAAAGGGAAAAAAAAGGGTACTTCTATTTTATTTTTGACAAATATTTACACCTGGTTATTTTAATAAAAGTTTCATTTTTTATTTTGATCTATATATTTTTTCGACAATATTCTGGATGAAGATTGTCCTGATGGGATCGTTTTTAAGTACGGATGTGTTTAGGCAATTTACGTATATATGGTTGATAAGATTGTTATTGAGATGTTTAAAAAATGTCAGACAAATGGATGAAGAGTTCCTTGGGTTCTATAAGAAAAATGACATATTCAAAATAGTATATATGACAGAGGTATCAGCTTTCCGTGCTATGAAATTGTAAACGTAATTGTCCACGCATTCAGGTGTAAATCAAAGGTCTTAGAGAATGAAGTTCTTTGGTGTATGTTATTTACTGATGACATAGTTTTAGACGAGGAATAAATGGTAAAAAGAACTTTAGAGTACTTTCGAGTTTTTACGGTGAAGTAGAACTAAGACGAAACACTCGCAATTTCATTTCATCAACAATAGGAATAAAGAAGGTAATAACATCAATAGAGTCTAAAAAATATTTTTTTCTTTGATTTGATTGTTTACAAAAAGAAAGGAGCCACTACACACAGAATTAGGGCCAATAGTATAGAATGGAGAAAGTGCTATAGAAATTATATGTGACAGATCTATCTAAGCCAAAAAAGTAGGGGCAGTATGAGTTGACAATAAGTACAGTTGGGGTATGTCTAGTGTAGACCTAAAGAGGCTCCGCTGAACAGGTTAAAAGATGGACTAGATGACGAACGCAAGCATGGATTGTTGTGGTTGTAAAAATCAAGTTGTATTAGATATAGCAACAAGTAGAACGAAAATTTCAATAAAGATTTCATTCATCCAATCGTGAGAATAAAACTAAGTTTCTTTTTGTTAAAAGAGAAGAAACTGATTCAGGCTTTTACTTGCTTCAGGTCAAATAAAGATATGCACGGTTATTTTGCTAGATTCCAGGGACCATTTACTCCCTCTCAATGGATGGAGCTGGATCACCAGGCATTGATTTATAAATACATTTTGGCACATGTCGCAATTCCTTCCAACTTAATTATGCCTCTCCTAAGATCCCTCTACCCATATGCTACTTCTGGATCTTATGCCTCAAATGTTTGTAAGCCTTCTCTTCTGTTAGTTTAACACACAAAAAGGTATTTCATTTCTTTAATAGACATTTATTCTAAGATTGATACTAAAACGAGTTGCTAATTTCATGTCTTCTCTCTTTTGGTTTTTTTCTTCTCTTTTCCTCGATGCCCTTAAAATGATAATAGTGCCCTGTTTTTTTTTTTTGGCATTAAGTGAGATGGGCTTCTCTCCATTTAGGTTTATCAAGCAGCAAGGATCCCGAGCATTGGAGGTGTCGGAGGACTGATGGAAAGAAATGGCAGTGCTCGAAAGATGCTGTTCCTGGTCAGAAGTACTGTGAAAGGCACATCAATAGAGGTCGCAACCGTTCAAGAAGGCCTGAAAGGCCATGCTGTCTCTGGATCCAGAAGCTGCTTATCTAACAATCTTGGATCCACGCTGAAACAGCTCAATCCCTATGACAGCTACACTGCCGCCCTGGCTTCCACTACTTATCCTGTTAACAGGTGAATAATCCATCATAGATCCCAATTTCCTTTAAGCTGTGAATGACATGCTTGTTATGCTGGATTGGACAGTTAAGGATGGGATTAAGGAACAAAAATAAGTTAAAATCTTGTACATTATCCTATGGTACAATGTCGTGTACAACATGGACGTAGAATTTTAGCATCTATGAGGTAGAAAGCTATGCATACTTGTTCACTTTTATCCCTCTTTAGTAATTGCACTCTGTTCCTTTTTTCTCTTGCATAGAGACAAAAATTTATACGGCAAAACTCATGAATACCAAAGCCTCATGTCGAAACCCACGACCATCAATCTGAAGCCTAAAGACGTGTCATTTTCCTTCCAAAAGCAGCATGCCCCATTTGAAGAATTATCTCACTTGGAATTTGGAATTAACTCAGATTCCCCAGTCAATCCTTCAATGAAATTTTCCTACGCGAATACTAGAAATCCTATTTCTTTCCTAGGTCTAGAATTGAATGACCAAAATCTGGTAAGCCACTTCAATGATCCAACCGACCAATCTGATCATACCTCTGTCTCATGGGCTAAAGAATTGAAATCAGATTGGACCCAGCTTTCAATATCGATCCCAGTGGCTCCCTCAGATTTTTCACCATCCACAAATTCTCCTCCACAAATGAAGCCTACTTTTTTACCTTGACGACTATCTCCGGAGCCCAACCCAGTTCAGATGAGCTTGGGCATTAATACTAACCTTGGTGAATCAAATCAAAAGCAATCGACTTGGTTGCCAGTTTCTTGGGGAATCTCAATGGGCGGTCCATTAGGGGACGTCTTGACCAGCACATCCACTAATGCAAGAGTAGGCAATAGTTCAACGGTTCTAAACCTGATGACTGAAGCTGGGTAAAGTAGCTCTCAGACGGGAGGTCGACTTTGGTCGCGTTGTAATAAGCTAGTTGAAGGTACTGAACGAAGATGTTTCCATTAATTTCTTTATTGTATTTTCCCTTTTCCTCTCATCTGTCTATGCAAGTGTTCTTAATGCATAAACCTAATCAAACTTGACACTGAACTCGACTCGGTCCTGGTTCACAGTCATCTGTATTCTAGAATTCAACGTAGCAACATTTCATGTCATCTTAAACTTGATCAGATATCTCAGTCCAATTGTATTCTGAAGTTTTTTTTTTTTTTTTTTAATCTTACATTAAAGCAGTCATTTGCCAAGTACCCGAGTATCGAAAATTATATTTGCACTTGGCAGCTAATTTATGCAATGATGGCATGTTTGTCATCAATGGAACTAAAGAATAATGCATAGGTTTAAAGATAAAAGGAAATTAAAATATTGCCCTGTTGTACTGTTGAGTTGTATCTCTGTCCCATTGAATAGAAAAATTGTGTTGTTAAGGGAAAACATCTGTCATATTCTTTAATGAACCATGTCTTTATAAAGACAGCATTAGAATCTAAACCCTAGTGCAAAAATATTGAAAATGGAGAAAAACAATGAGCAGATGCATAGCTAATTTGACTAATTTGTTTTTGTGCAAATTTAGGCATTTATTCATATCAGCAGCTAAAAATATAACAGTCTAAATAAGGGCACAAATAACTAAAGAAACCAAGATATTACCCTTAGCCCTCAATAATTGAAAATTAAAGATTGGTGGTATTTTAGGGACCAAAAAAATAACAGAGGAACGCACATTATTAAGATTGTCGTTTAAAACTTCAGTTCTCAATCCTGCCATGGTAAGAACAATAGAAAGACATACAAAACCCTTCGGGGGTAATCAAGCTGGTGGAGCAAATGAACGCGAAGATTAAAAGTCACGAATTCGAATCTCTTGTCAACACTTCCTCAATTGAGTCCGTCGCACCAGACTTGTCTAGTACGATTTACCTCTCCTGTGTGATTTGCGGGCTACTGCACATGGAAAAGGATTGAGGTACTTACAAAAATACTCTTAAAACTAGAGGTGTTTTGAAAAATCATATGAAATGTTTTTAAAAAGTAAAAAATACTGTATAAAATGAAAAAGTGACACAATGTCACTTTTTTTAATAAAAATTGTCACTTTTTTACTTTTTTAAAAAAAGTGACAAAATTCAAAAAAAGTGACACACACTCGAAAAGTGATACAAACTAAAAAAGTGACAAATACTTAAAAAAGTGACAAAATACCAATCAAAAAGTGATAAATATTAAAAAAGTAACAAAAACTTGAAAGGTGACAAAAAAGTGACACAATGTCACTTTTGAAAGTTTAGTGTCACTTTTTAATTAAAAAAGTGACATACAATGTCACTTTTATTAAAAAAATTCTGTTTTTCACTAAAAAAAANAAATGACAAAACATCGTTCAAAACCTTAAAATATATCATTTTATACAAATTCAATGTGAACTACAACTGAAAATGCCCAACAACTACTTGCATAAAATTGATTCAATGCAAAAAAGCACGCCGTTTTGTAGTGTCAAATCCCTAACTTGAATCAGCCGTGGAGGAATGGAAGGAGCGGTATTGTCGTGCATCTTCTGCCAAATCGCCCGCTCTACCAACTCAACCACTCTTCTCTACAACACAAGGATGATAGGGTCATTGCTTTTCAAGATATAAATCCATCTACATTCAAGCATTACTTGGTATTCCAATAGACCACATTCCAACAGTCAAAGACTTTCAACGGAGTTCCAAAGACTTTTTATTAGTCGGCCACATGCTAAATGTGGGCAAAAATCTAGTGCAAAGAGATGCACCTCACGCCAAGAGATAAAGATTTGGTTTTCATCAGCCTCCATTAAACAGTGTCAATCATCTACAGATTCTACATCTCCATCTTTAGGTAACTGTCTTTTATTCTGAGAATAAGGCGAGTCCTTTATCCTCTCTGCTGAACCAGTGTTGTGAATTTGAAATCCTCTATAGAAGTACTTCTATCCTACTTGGGTGAACAAACTAAAACTGAATTCTCTTCATTTGTAATCTTACATTAGAGGGACCAATTGATCCAAAAATCAAACCATCTTCAAATTCTACTAAATTCTTCCCACTAAATCTCAGTCC